CTATAGCGTATAATACAGTGGGTAGGTGTGTAGCAATATACAAGGTCCGCTCACCCCTTTGTTTTCCCATATGACGCCGCTGCGGCACGTCCGTCTATCCGCTTGGCTTTCTCGGATTCATTTGCCGGTTGGCGCTATTACCTCCCGGACAATGAGCATTTTCTACTCGAGAACTGCCGGTGTATGCTTCGCTGTTATATATACGATTGCACGATCATTACTGTTTGATTTTTAATGGACAGAGGTACTACTAATATATATAATATATATATATATTTTTTTCATGTATATTTATGTAATATATTAATCGCTAAATATGTATTTCGGAAATACGCAAGGTCATCTTGACTCAAAGAACGAAAAATCGAAAGAGGAAGAAAAAGAAATTGTATGATATAACAAAAGGGATCGGATAGGAGACAAAGATTGATTGACATGGAAAAAAGAAATGTTTTACACGTTAAGTTACGAAGAAACGGATTTTAATGTTTTGAAGTGAATTTCATTTTTTTTTTTTTTTCTGAGTAGGTACGCTTGCCAACCAAAAGTGTATCGGTATTCACTTACTCTTATATAAGTATATTTATATAAATAGTCTCTATTTTTTTTTCCAACCTTTTCTCATCGAAGCGCAATGAATTGAATTTTTTAATCTTCAACTACAACATGCTCGCATGTACTTCCTCGTAAATTGTTTCTATTTGCTATTGAGATATCGAAGGTGAGGCTTGCAAGTCTTTTGTTTGTTTAATTTTACTTTTTCAACGTCATTGTGAAGAGATTCGTAAGAAAAATAAATTACCGATTTATTGATAAAGACACTCATACACGAGCGTAAAAACCCTTATAAGTATAAGTACATAGTGTGTTCAGAGTCTTATCGTACAATTTTTTTTCGTTTTTTTTTTTTTTTTTTTTTTATTTTGAATCTTGTTATAAATAGTCTCGTTGAACGTAGTAAGCTTTGAAAGCTCTCAAGTTGTATGAGATCGTCATTCAAGATGATTTATCATTTGAGACTTAATAATAATGGAAATACATTCAAGGACTCGACATTTCCCTGCCGAGGAAAGAAAAATTAAACTCATTGTGCTTCGACTTTGCATACTTATTTCTACCAGATTAATACTAGAAATAGTTAGGCTAATAATAATAAAAGTTCTCTAAGTTACGATACCGACAACTTTTACGATAACTGGTTATTCTTATTTTCTTTTTTTATTCCTTACGCAGATAAAAGACAGTATGGTATATTTAAATATATCCTACACTTCTAGCGTAACAACACTTAGACAAGCTATGATAATGCAAAAATGAGATACTTCGTTAATTTTTTTTTTTGTTTCTTATATTGCGAAATAGACGCGGTGACGACAAATATACCTCTTGGATTAACTCTTTACAAAGTGCTACTAGTATTGACGTTGATCGGCACTTTGCTGATGAGAAAATTTGCAGCACATTTTTCTTAACTTTTTCCCTCCTCCCTCTCCACCACTTTTTTTTTTTTTTTTTTTTAATTAATTAATTCAACAAATGTTTGAACTTTAAAATTATTGATATGAGTTTGGTGTGACTTTAGTTTAACAAATATTTAGACACAATATTTTTCAAGTAAATTTCCAAATGAATTTACTTTTGTTATCGATGTTGTCGACGAATGCAAATCAATATTTAACGCTATTTTCAACGCAATTGGTTACCCAAGAAAAAATGTACGACAAATTTCAATTATTTGAACGATTAACAAGTACACTTCATTTTCAGTATCCAAAGTTCTTGCGTTGGATATCTCGCGACACGTGAATTTTTTACCAGTTAATATATTGCTCTCGCAGAAACGACAAGAATTTTTTGTTAATTACACTCGGTTTTATCTAAACACCTAATATATTACTTTATGATTTATTGGCAACGTTTAAACGGCACGGAATGGCTTCAATCTCTAAGCTTGCGTTGCTACTCTTATCGTTTACTACCTCAACAATCCATAGATTAATACTTCATAATTCTGTTTTATTTTTATACGAAATGAATTCAAAGTTTTTAATTGTTTCAGTCACCACAACGTGAATTTTTTTTTTTTTTTTTTTTTATAAATAAGAAATAAATTTGAAAAAACGTAGTAAAAACCCGATTTGAACATGAACAATAAGCAATAAAAAAAAAAGAGTCAAGCATTTATTGGGCTCCACGACTCTCACGTCTGTTCTTACTATATACACGCCACGCTTCAATGCTTGGCATGTGAGGCTCATGCAGGGGCCCCATCTTCTATACATTCATTATTCCCATTGAAATGTTTTTTTTCGAAATTCAATAGAGGCAAAAGCCCATAAAACGCGTCGCTACCATACCTATCAATTCGCAGTAGTCCTCGAACTGTACAAATATTTTCTTCTGCGTTCGCACTTATTTGCTAGCAGTTAGTTTTTTTTCTGCCTTTTTAAATTTAAATTTTGTTATATATATAACACTGGTGGGATAAATATACGGGTTACAAGACAGCCGTCAATGTTCAATCTCGAACATTGTCGGCTTCGAGTTTATTTAATGTGTTCACATAGATTTTGACGAGGCACTGTTCAGTGTTTCAAATACTAAGAAAACAATAACAATTATATTTAGATTCTATTTTCTTTTTTTATTTATTTATTTTTTTTTTTTACTGTTTCTTACTTCTGTTATGCTCGCAGCATTGCTTCGTGTAACGTACCTTTTAATAAAAGAAGTAGTAGATTGAAAAAAAAATTTGTTTGTTTTTGTTTTTAAAATTGTTTTTTGGCTCTGCTTATTTTATTTTTTTATTATTTTTTTTTTTCAAGCTAAAAATTTCCACAGTGCTGGAGGACTTGACTGTACCATCACAGATAAATGACGGCTTTTTCAATCCTTTAAATAAAAGGGAAATAAGTATGTACTAAATGCGCTTTTGTGAAGACAATATTTTCTCGAAATGAAGTTGATACAATTTCACAAGAACGTCAAGTCGCATCTCCCATAAATGCATTATTTCGATTAATTTTGGATATTATCTTCATTTGCTATTGCGGAGCCACCTTGTGATAATTTTGACCCTTTAAGTCATTTTTCACGTGGTCTTTCATTTTTTGATAAAAGTAATGTTTTGAGGTGTATTCCCGACACCAGGACAATATTGTAATGGGGCTAAAGGGTAGGTGGCTCAAAACCGACGATATGTTGTTTAAATGTTTTTTATTTATATTTTTGAATAGTTTTAATTCAAAAATTACAGAGATCATTTTCTTCGATAGATTGTCATTCATGACAAAATGAAAAATATGCTGCGATTGTTTAAAGTGTATATCGTAATATATCTATATTTATCTNCAATGTCTTTTATGCCATGCGTGTGCTGTGCGATGAGAATGAAACCTCGCGTTTCTACACAATTGTCTTTTTTTCTTAAAATTTCTTTGGTTTCGTCTAACTTATTATTTTACCACTCGCTACGGTGTACATCTCATTACACTGATAAAACTCTCTAAATTCGAGCTACATCGATTTACTTGTCTGGCTTTTATTTTAGAAACAAAAGGAATGAACTGTTCTTCGTAGCTGTTGTATTTTTATTTTTTTTTATTTTTTTATTTTTTTATTTTTTTTTTTTTCTTTGACCATGTGCAAAAATAGACAATATTTTTTCTCCCCTTATTACTTTTTAACGCGTCAATTATTAGAGTTTCTAATTTTTTTTTTTTTTTTTTTTTCTTTTTTTCTAAACTTTTTTTTGATTATTGAAAAAAAATTTTTCTTAGCGTTCATGAATAAGTAGATAATCTAAACGCTTAGGATAATACATACGTATATATGGATCTTGAATGGAGGCTTGAATCTCTAAGTGAAAGTCTATGTTTAGGTGAATATTTTACTAAAACGCATCAAACTACTTATATCCGTCAACTTAAATCATAAACCATGATTATAAATTACTAATATTTTTTTAACTTTCGAGATCAAATGTTTATTGAAGAGAGTATTTTGATCACAATTAATTTCAAAAACCAATACCATTGAATTTAATCAATGAAAATTTAAACACTAATGGTACATATCGTACCATGGGCGCATCGTACAACTTACGCAACTGTTGTACGTTTGTGCTCGAGAAGCAAACGCCGTTTTTCTTACCAAGGGCACAAAATACTGTTTTGCGCCTGTGGGCCCACTTTGGGCCCGCTTCAGTAAGAAAAAGTAATTTTAAAGTAATTTTCTTGTCTTCTTTTATCAAATCATCAATAAAAAATTAACTAATGTCTTATTATATTTTTTTTTTTTTTTTTTGAGTAGTTACGCTTGCCAACCAAAAGTGTATCGGTATTCACTTACTCTTATATAAGTATATTTATATAAATAGACACTGTATTTCGATATTAAAATTCTTTTTTTTTTCTTTTCTTTTTAATTACTGTCACTTGTTTATAAAAAGCGAAACAAGACGCGACACAATTTATCTATCTAGAGTCTCGAAATAAAATTTCCTATCTAATTGTAGCTAAAAAACATTTTGTTCTAACTTAAGTAATGATAATCGATTTAATGAGAGCATTTTTTATTTAGATGCGCGATATGACAAGTAGAAACGATATACAAATCTGTTTTCCGTTACATATACATATTTTTAAAAATTTTTTCATTAATATTTAGCACGTGTCGGTCGGATTTGTTTCTGTATTTCGTTTCTCGTTAATATTTTGCAGATAAAAGACAGTATGGTATATTTAAATATATCCTACACTTCTAGCGTAACAACACTTAGACAAGCTATGATAATGCAAAAATGAGAGAAAAAAAGTTTCCACGTATCTATACTTTTTTTTTTTTTTTTAACAACACCACACTTCAGCTAAGACTTTTTGTTAAATGTTTAATAAAACACAAACTTGTAAACATTGTTATCGCAAGTACCAAACCCTAATTCATCAATTGTTGATTTGAGATTTTTTTATGTTTAATAGAACACAAACTTGTANAATACACTGATCAGTGTATTATTATCTTGGCATTAAAAAAAAAAAAAAATTACCACTGCTGGAACTTCCAGTTTTAGTAAAAATTCACTTATGAAGAAAAATGAAAAAGTAATACACTACCCAGTCTTAAAATCATCTCCGAATATTCAAGATCCAATACTAAAGATTCACTACTGTTTCAACAAGACACGAGCCTAGCGCATGAAAAATACGATTAATTAACTTAAAAAAAGGTAATAGAATGAAAATTATAAAATCATCGAAGAATGGATATTTCTGTGCGCGGCACGCAAGAGCTCGGGTGAGGGGCTGCGATGAAGCCCGAAACGTCCAACTTCCTGGTGTTCCGCAACGATATTGCTGTTCAGGTTGCCAGTCGTGTGCCGGCGATTGAAGTACCGATTGCGCAGCTCGGCACCAGCGTTCGGGTTGCCACACGTCGCTACTGTTGCCAACGCTGCTTCTACCGTTGGATCGTCTGTCATGCCGTTGGATGTTGTCGATGATGGTGTGTTGTTCGTGGCAACGGCAGAGGTGGATGAAGAGGCTGACGCGCCAAAGTTGGAATCTTCAAAGGGATGCTGTTGCTGCGACCGGTGCGCTAGCCATGGTTCCGCTTTGTGTCATTTGTTGCTTTGAGCCAGCGCCTGGTTGATCTGGTGCCATAGTTCCTTGTTGCACGACTGTGATCTGCATCGAAAGCGTTTTTGCATTAAAAGACGATTATCTACACGACCGTGGAATTTTCTTGGCAATTTGAGAATCACCTTTTGATGGATTGCAACCATTCTTTGAACTGCGTGTGGCCTTCCGGCGTAATGTGAAAAGCGGCCCTAGCTGCGCGAACGATACTTGCAAAGTCCTCGTAGTCCGGTGCCATCAAGTGATACAATTTCTGATGCAAACACTGAATGTACCTACAGTCGAAAAATGTAAATTATAGTAGCTCCAACTTGGACACGTAAAATGTTTTAAATATCGTATGGGTGGTCGACTCACATCTGCTGACACTTGTGAACGAGCGGTGCCAGGAGGGCAGATCTGAGCTGCTGTAGGACGAGAGCGGCGTTATTACGCGACAGGTAGAAGGCCGCCTCGAGCACGACGTCATGCAGCACGAACGGGCTGACGATACTGTTGACAACGGTGACGCAGAGCTGGTGAAGAAACTGGGTGCCCAGACGCTTGGAGACCCGCAACAGCCACTTGACGTCCTCGCCGTAGGGTGGATTGCGCGCGTACTTGGCTTGCGGACGGTCGTCATGGACGCGGCGTGACAGCATGTCCAGCGCCAACATGCCCACTCGGTAGGCCGAGACGAGAGCCCGATACTGCTGCGGCGTGTACGACTGGTGTTGCCTGTGCACCTGCTCCACAAATTTTTGCCGTTATTATTTCGTTTTTTATATCCACAAAATGTTTATAAAAATGATCCATTCACACCTGTGGCTGGGTACGGACGGTCGACATGATCGGCTGTGCTTGCATCATAGACGGAGGACCGGGAAGTCCGTTTGGTCCCGGGATAGGCCTGGTCTGTACCTAATGAAAAATAAAAATAATTCCACAAAGTCACGGCCAACTCTTCGCAAGGTTAAAAAGAAACAAGAAGTATGTCTCTCGAGCACTCACATTGATGGAAACCGATTGCTGCATAGCGAACATGTGCTGAGTACCGGGCGGCGGGGGCGGAGGATTGTGCACGTTGACGGTAGTACAAGCCGTGGGAGGTTGAGGTGGCCCGTAGTACGGTGGTGGCGGCACGACTGGCTGCGCAGCCTGAGACGGCTGTTGCGGATGATGTGGCGGTGGCAGCTGAGGATGCGGCTGCATCGGATGGGCCGGTGGTGGCTGGAACGGATGATGGTACATGGGCATGGGGGCCGGCTGCGGTGGCATGCCCACTCTGTGGGGTGGCATCGGGCCTCCAGCCGCCGCTGCCGCCGCCGCAGCTGCCGCGTAAGCCTGATGCGACTGATACGCGTGATGCGGGTGATGCGGATGGTGAACGAAGCCGTGGTACGGGCTCACCGTGTACGGCATCCCCATTTCTGAAATGATGGGAACTTTTAGAACAATTAGTTTTATAGGGCTGTCTGGACATATGTATGGTATGGTAGCAACGCGATGAATCTTAAATGATCTTACCCAAGGGAGCGAGCGTCGTTATTGCCGGATGGGCGTAAGGTTGAGGCGGGGGCTGAGGATGAGCGCTCGTCACGACGACCGCCTGTGCCTGCCCTTGCATCAGTTGGCCGGCCGACATGCCCAGATCCACCGAGCCTGGATCGACGATCAGCGTACCATTCGCGTCCAACGTCAGCGACTCGTGCGGAATCTCGTCCATCGTCTCGCCTCCAGGAGTATTCCTCAGATAAAGCTCGTACCAGTACTTCGCTACTTGGAACAAGACTTCGGGGTACACGCCACCAGAGTCCTTGGCTGTATTTTCAACGGTGATGCAGGCCTTCTCGAGCATGACGTCGCTCTGTTCCTTGCACTGAAAAACCAACAACAACAAGGATTATTTGTTGAAACGAAATATAGTTATATTATTATTATTATTACAATGATAATTTTCCCAACAGATACACACCTGCAATATCGCTCTCTGAATCTCATTCGGATTGAGCGACGGTGCATACGGTAGACACGAAAGTGCGAGCTCCGCGGCCGCCCTGACCATGTTGGGGTCGCTGCCGCGGGAGCTCTTGTCGGCAATACTGACAGCCTCGGCCGGCGTCAAATGATCGACCCAGCTGTCGATCAGGAACCAAATGGCTGGTGCCCCGATCTCCATGGCCTGTCCAGTGATCCAGCTGACGTGGCTCGAGTAGGTGCGGCTCAGCCAGTTGGGACTGACGCAGTTGTGGAGTCCGAGGGCGTACAGACCTAGTTGGAAGGCGCACATGTGGAGGGCCCGATGAGGCCCGTGATGGTTCTGGCTAGTCGAGGCCTGGGTGAAGAGGGACGTGGAACTGTTGCCGCCGGCCTTGGTGAGCACGGTCTTGGCCAACTCGCACATGAAGTGAGCCCCGGCTTCCGACGGCTGGTTAGGTATCGATGGCTTCGGAATGGAGTTGCGGCCCTTCTTGCCCCTGGGATAGCGGGACGAACTGGATTTTTAACGGGGGGTAGTGATAGTTTGCGATGATCGATGGGATGAGTCGCACCCTTACGGAAGGGAAGTACAGCACCGCCGTACATGTGTACACATGCATGAATGAGATATAATGATTACATGTGCGAGTGTATGCACTACATGACGGCTAAGTGATTACGTGTGTTACTCTGTTGGCGTTAATAACATATGAACGATTTAATGCTCGTGTCGAACTGGAGTCGAATGATGAAAGTTGGTTAAAACGAACAATATAATATGTAGAACTCACTCGCTAAGACTTCATCTAGCAGTAAGCAAAAAGCATCGTTACTCACGCTAGTATAGGTCATCGTTTGACAATAAAGCACAACCATTAATTGTTGATTAATCAAGAACACAGGCACACGCGCATACAGACACACACATACACGCATAAAAATTAATAATCTGGCTAATATTAGGAAACGCCATAACACTATGGTGTGCGAGCTAGACACATAGTGCTTTAGTTTCGTTCCGTAAGGGTAGCGGGGTAGCTCGAGCTAAGCGATCAGATGGCGGGTACGCACGTGTTTTCCTTCGTCCTCGCGGACACAGACTGCTGAGCCGGCTGGGGCTGGACTGTGAGGGCATTCATGCCGGATTCCAACTCCGCGCTCGTGCTGCTGTGCGGTCGGCTGTTTGAGCCCATGACACCATCAGCCGAGCCAGACGCCTCTAAACCCATGAGCGGCGAGCTGCACGACTTTTCTCGACGGAGGTACGAGAGCTAAAACACAAATAATAAGTAGTAAACTTACAGTTTTGCTGTCACGGTTAATTGAGAAAATGATAAATCGAGTGTGTCTTGTCACCTGGCTCTTGGTTGGTGGGTTCGAGCTGTAGTAGCTGCTCACTATCGGTGACCTTATGAGCTGGTGCACCTCGCGATCTAGGAGTTTGTCCATGATTCTTGCCACCTTGGCCGGTTCGTCTTTGTAATTGACCAACAGCGTTATAGCCAGTTCACCCCTGCGGTAAGAAATTTAAAAAAAAAATCATGGCTTGTCGATTATGATACGTAGATTTACCTTTCTGTGATTAAGAGAATACTTACCGCTGTCGTCGCGTTCCTTCGCAAAGCAACGGATGTTCGGCTTCGCTTATGTTGGCCTTGAGTCCGAGAGCTGCTACAGCTGCATCGAAACCCAACTCCTCGTCCACGTCCGTGGACAATTTCATTTCTGGGGAAACAATTGTTCATTAGGAAAAAAAAAAAATTCGGAATCAGTCGAAAAAAAACTTTAAATTACCGACTGGCGCATAATATATACTCACTCGACGTATTGAGCGAATCAAATATGAAGCTAGCCAGCATAATCGGAAGCAGAGCGTGTCCTCTGGAGCGCAGTACTCCATCCTTGAGCTGCTTGGCTCTGTGTCTAACTATCGCCAATTCGTCGGGCCCTAAGGGTATACGTTTGAGCAAAGTCACGAGTTCGCTCTCTTGATGTGCCAGTTTCACCTAAAAAGGATAAAAGAGTCAATTTTGTCATTTGATAAAAGAAAAAAAAAAAAAAAAAAAAAAAAACTGAAACATGGCGATTACCTCCAGTGGCTTCGTACTTGCAGGTGGTCTAGCCATCTCTAGCCCAAAGAGGCCAACTCTAAAGGCCAAATTATAATACTCTGGGTTCTCGGCTAAAACTGTACAGAGAAAACCGCATTTCGCTAGCGTCGCCGAGGCAGAACACGTGAGCTGATGAGAAGCTGGGTTCACTTGATGCTGCACAAAGAGATAGATATATCCTCGTGAAAAAAAAAAAAAAAAAAAAAAAAAAAAAAAAAAAAAAAAACACAAGCGTGGTAATTATTGATGAACCAAAAGAAGAGACGACGTACCTTTTTCTTCTTACCCTTGACCGGCATGGGAGGCACTTCGATCATGAGATCCGGTGGATTCGCCAGCAACTCCTCGGCCAACTTGACACCAAGGATACAAGCCTCGCGCGTGTGCCCGTGAGCGTAGAGGCCCTCCGCCCGCGCGAAGAGTATGTCTTCAGTCTTTTTCAAATTAGCTAAAATGTTCTTCAAATTCGCTGCGGCAGAGCTGCCCGGCGTCTCGGGCTTCCGGTCCCTCGCGACGAAGTTGGTAAATGCCTCCTGAGTGTCGTAGTAGTAGACGTTGTACTCGTCGAGCAAGGGATGATCGCCGACCCCGCTGCTCGACGACGAGCTCTCGTCCTTGGACGGCCTTCTGGACGGGTCCTTCTCGAGGTCGGACTCCTGCTCGCCCCCGGTCGCCTTCTTCGCCGCGGCCACCGCGACCGCCACGGCAGCCGCTGCCAAATTATTGCCGTACCTACCACCCGTCGTGGCCGTGGACGACGACGGCGCGATGATCGGAGGATTGCCCACGACTACGACCGACGAAGCGACCGCCTCGCCTGCCTTGATCGCCTCCTGGAGCTCGGCCGCTGTCGGGCTCTTGGGCCTCGTAGCCGGGACGTGGCTCGAGCCACGCTGCTTATCCCCACTCGCAGGCTTCTTCTGGACAACGCTGGTCTCGCTCCTGCTGTCGCTGCTATTGCTCTCGGCCGTCGAGGCGTTAGAGCGCGTTTGCTCCGGCCGCTGCAGCTGCCCGGTCTTGAGGCTCTCGTTGCTATTGGACGAGGACTCGCTACCACCACCCTCCTTATACGCGACGAGCACAAAACAATGGCCAGTTGGAGTAAAAAAGGAGAGCACACAAACACACCGGAGTGTATAGATATGATCATACCTGGGAGTCGGTGTCGCAGCTGTTGTTGAGCTGCTGCTTGCGGGCACACCTGACCAGGAGGACGGGCAGTTCCCCGATGTCGTGCATGTCGGCGTCGTTCTCGCAGAAGCCCTCGCTGCTGTCGCTGCTGCGATTACCGTCGCCCGGGTCGTTGGGACGGGGGCACAAGCCCGGGTGGTAATCCCGGTGGTTGAGTCTTCGGCGCACGTCCACGTACGCGCTGTAATCGATCAGACTGTGGCCGGCGTGCCTGCGCGAGTGGTGGTGGAAGGACGTGGGCGGGTTACACCCGAGGACCGCCGCGCTCGAGTTGATCTGGTTGACCTCGTTCTTCGAGTCCCCGTTGTGCTTGAAACAGGTGAACGGGCAGTGATACATCGGGTTGCTGCTCGCCGTGTACGTGATCCCGGGCAACGTGTACTCCTCCCAGTCGAGGAAGCAAGCCTCCAACGCCGGCTTGAAACCGATGAACAGCTCGAGGTCGCTCTTCAACGAGTCCTTCTGGCCACCACCTCCTCCTCCACCACCACCACCACCACCACCACCACCACCGGCGTTGTTGCGGTTGTGCGAGTTCTGCGACACCGACGAGTTTCTGATCTTCATCAGCTGCGGAGGATGGAGGAAAGAAACAGTAAGCCAAAAAGTATCTATAGCATAGCAAAGGAAAATGACGAGAGTCGTGTTTGTTACCTTGTCGACGATCTTGAGGTGCCAGGCGGTGAATTGCCGGCGGAGCATGTCGCGCTCCGAGGGCGACAAGCCAGGATTGAGGGCAGCCAGCCGCCAGAGTACAACGATCTCGTCGCAGAGTGAGGCGCAGGCGTGCTGGGAGGCGTGGGCGTTGCTGTTCATGTTGCTGTGCTTGCCGCCGCCCGAGTGGCCGTTGCCGTTGATGAGGGCAGCCTTGGTGTTGAACCACCAGACGAGGATCTGCTCGCAGGCCAGGCACTCCTCGGTTATTATCTCGAGGAGGGGTATGGCGTTGCGATCGGTACGCTTGAACATCTCCCGGACGATGCTCAACAGGTTCCACATGCCCTCGGGCTCGCGGCCCCGCAACGGCCGCAACAGGGACGACCACTCGGCAGCAGCGGGCGGCGCCGTCGTGCTCAGGTAGTTCACGTCGCTGCAACGTCAAGGGGGAGGGGGTGTTATTGGCGTGCTCATTGTGGGTGTGTGTGCATGTGATCTGCATACCTGAAGACTATGGGGGCGGGCACGCAAAACTTGATGAGTATCTTGTTGATGTTGTCGTGGAGGGTCTTCTCGTCGAGGTACCAGGAGGTCTGGTCGTTGGCCGAGGCACCGGCCGTGGGATCCGGGGCGCCGCAGTACGTGTTTATGGCGCTCGGGGTGGCCGAGAGCAGCTCGTCGAGCAAACGCTGGGCCGTAGGGAGTATCTGCTGCGGGAGCTCACTTATCAGGTATTGGGCGAACTTTTGCAGCTGCTCGCGTTGAAGGCGCGACAACGACTCGGACACCGGGGCTCGCAGGCACACCTGCGTGGGCTGCAATTTCGTTTTGTTTTGTTTTGTTTTTTTTTTGTTTCACTTGGTTTTACATTTTCCTGCATATAAGGTGATTACGCGCAACGCGTATGTAACGTACCATGTGTATCCTGTAGAGGCAGACGGCGACCACGTGGGAGCACCAGTAGGCGGCCGAGGAGCACGTGCAGTTGCAAGAAGTGATCCTTCGCCGATCGAAGGTCACGGCCACGTTGTACTGCTCCCGGCCGTTCGCGGACACCATCATCGAGCATACCGTCGCGCTCAGGTGAAAACCTGCAGGTGCGAAACGATCAAGTATATACAAATATACATACTCCCGGGTTGGCTCAAACTTAAATCATCAACGTTGGATTAAAAACTAATAATCAAGCGAGCGACGAAAATTTAAGCCATCGGCTATACATATATGTATATGTACGACGAAATTCGAGCTCGCTAATTTGAGGCGTCAACGGGAAGCAGGAGGAAGAGAATGAGGGTAATTTACGTTCCTCCGGGTTTTCGCAGTGCTCGGAAAATTACCCCAACGCCTTTCTCCTCCTTTTTCCCTCTGCTGTGCCGTTCGGCGAAATGAAATGACTTGGGTGGAACATGGAGGACTTGCAGGAATGCAGAGCTGTCCAAGAGGTCGTGAGTTTGTCGCGTACTTATGAGATACGACTGGGAGCCCGAGGGATTTGACGAACGTCGGGGATACGCGACGCGAAAGGATGAACCTTTTTTCGCATGTCCATCGCACACAATTGTATCAACGATGTATTATGTTTGTCTCTGATGATCTAAACGATGAAAGTACGAATTTCACGCTGTTGTTGTTATGTCCATTAAAAAAAATTCCCCACCAGTCGTATAATATATACGAGTAAGCATGTAACAAGTACTATACGTCGAAATAAGTGACCCTCGGCAGCGGCGAAGAAATTTCACGGCATTCCCAACCGCGTACTTACACCCGAGGGGAATCCAATTTCTTTTTTTTTTTTTCTCGGCTTGAAAAAAAAAAAGAATAAATAATAAGCGCGGAGCCGAGAGAGAGTCCGTTTATTACGACTCTTCGAAGAAGCCGTAACGAGGAGGCCGGAAAAGCTCGCTCCAAGGGAGAGAGGGCGCGAGAAACCGCGAGCTTGCAATTAACCCGAAGCTTTCGCTCCTGTGCGGGGAAAAAACAATGTTCGATGCTCAGGCAAGTTTTTTTAGACCCTACAAATGCGAAGGACGGAAAAGAGGGAACGCCATTGATTTTACGGCGCGACCAACTTGTTGCCGGGCGGTAAATTGAAAATTTTACCACTGCGGAGGTATGGACGCGAAATTCCATTCCGCCAAAGAATCGTAATGATCGTTGTACGCTTAAATTTCGCAGTTGTCGGAAGAGTTGTGGTCGACGAGGCTGTGGTGAGACGAGCGTCGCGCAAAGTGGAGTTTATTGTAATTAGGTAGACGAGGAAGTATTGAGCCACGCAAAAACATGTGTACATGTGTATATAAATATACGAACTGAAAACGGATGCATCAGTCTTTGTTTTTGTTCCGAATTTTTTTTTTTTTTTTTTTTTTTTTTTTTTTTCCTTTGCATCACAAAAAATGCGTTTCTCAGATCATTGTTTGCTTCCCCGTTCCCTCTCCTTGTCCCTCTGTACCTGCACCATACTGGATACTTTTTTTTTTTCACAGCTGTATGTTTGTGTAAGCTCGTTAAAGCCCACCCTGTTTACGGTCCCCGATTGTCCTTAAGTAGGTATAGGTGGCAAATATACCACAGTGGTCACTCACCTATCTGAAGGGGATCCTTGACGTTCTTCGAGCGGAAGAGCGCCTCGCCGCGCGAGAACTCGTCCGAGCTGCCATTGGCCAGGCACGAGTAGAGCCGTATGTCCTCCTCGTTGTCCGGAAAGCTCCAAAAGGCTATCCTTAGTTGCAGCTGTTCCGGGACCGGTGAGTAAAAGTGCTCGACCAGCTCGAACGGGATGTGGGAGGCGACGCAACGGGCCGCGAGCTCGCACAACGTCGGCACTTGTTGCCCATCTATGAACAATCCAAACGTATATATTTTTACTTTAGTATGACGAATGATTCAATTTTTTTTAAATCATTTATAAATCATGAATAAAAATTTAAGTTCTAAGATAATTATGTATCAAAGCATCGGCGATACTCGCCTAAGAGGGCATTTTATTTATTAATAATATCATAAAAAAAGCAGTTGGGTTTCTAATCGCTGTTGCTTACTCGCCTAAGAGAGCTTATTTTATCAACTAATAATCTCGCCCCCCTCGATTGAATCATACCTAAATATACGCCCCCCCCCCCCACGGGAGAGGTAAGCGCCGCAACAACAACAACTTCAGGTGCTCCTTGAAGAAATAAAAAGAGATTCGCATAAAAGGACAGAGGGCATCGTACCCTCCCGGCGTCAACACAACGCGCACGATGAATCGCCACAACAATGTCTCGAGAAAGGAAAAAAAGAGAGAGCTCGCATCCGTCCTTCCCTTACATTATTGTCATACATATATATATATACACACGCTCGTTGCTCAACAGGATAAGTTGTCCTTTTGTAACGCTGCAACCGGCAAACGCGTTTTTTTTTTTTTTTTTTTTTTTCACTTCCTCCTGGGGCTGAAGCTACAAGACCGTACACACAACCGAGGCTTTTGCCCCAACCGGTTGTTGTTGCACCCGTGCATGTGTGCGCGGTTGGATTTTTAAACGGCGCTCCTCCGTCTTGAACTGTATACAATGCGCGTCTACCTGCTGCGACCCTTTGCTCTCTGTGGACTACGATATAGGCGGAACAAAGGAACACAATACGGGAGCCGTGCAAGTGACGAGGAAAGATTAGCCGAGATGTATATATTCATTGTGGCAAAGCGCCGCGTGATTTTCAACACCTTTTCGCGCCTGTTGCTCGTTCGACCTCTTCAAGATTTTGTTTTTGGTCATTAGCGTGCACATGGCACGAACTGCATGCTGGACCATTTTCGCACATTTTATCCCAACGCATCATATTTATAAAGTATATGATCCCTACCGGTGCCCTTCTATTCGCATCAGAAGTATACCTAACGCACTTGTACACTCTGATGTAGGTATATAGAAACGAGATCAGAGAAGCCAAAACTGATTCTACTTCTATCTTAAACGGAAATTCTATCCTATACAATTGCGTTACTATTCGCTCTTCGGCGTATAAACGAGTAACGCCTGTCGGGGCAAAAACTAGATAAGCCACGCGCGAAAAATAACGCAACAGTATATAGTATAGATTCATAATTGTATACGTGTTTTAGCGGCACTTTACGGAGGATGTGCCAGGAACAACGAGATAACGACCTTGTTAATATCGGCCGTCAAGGGTGCGGTTACGTTGTTGGGGGCATCAGCCACACTCTACGACGTCGATGCCCCTGATGAAGTTTGGGCGATAACCAGACTTGATTACGCGAAAATCCGAAAAGGGGGAAAAGGAGGGACGTGGCGAGAAGAATAGGTTGACATCGGATCATCGGCATCCACTCTCTTCGTCACTCCATATAGCACACAAAAGGACGACACGCGACCATATACGTTATACGCTCGAGTGATTTGGCAAAATTAATTTCAACGCGCACTTAGGTCGGTATATGCTCTTTCTCTCCCGGAAACTTGGATAAATATACCTTGCAAAGGTGTACAGAGCTATACGAAAATTGGTTGGAGAACTCGGAAGCTGACTCCTGTTTACCGAGACAGAGTCTAATTTTAATTTACGATTTTCGAGAACAAAAAGGATTAAAAAAAAAGTTTCGCTCCTCTTCCTCGTCCATAGAAAAAAAAGGGGCGGAGAGGCGGAGGATGCGGTGTTTGCTCTGGCGCCGTTACTTTTCTCTCTCTACATTGCGATAAACTCGGCTGCATCCCTCATCTTTTAACTTTCCAGAGGTAAGCAGTTTTATTTTTTTTTTTTTTTAAGTTTACACAATTATTTTTACTTCTTTCTACCCATGATAAACGCGTTCGACTAAATTGTGCAATCGACCGTTGCTCGTATAATTCCAGAGCTACGCGTAATCGTCGCATTGTACGGTCCGCTATTCGGTGATTACATTTGTTATTCACGACTTGTGTGTGTGTAGGGCTGTATAGCTTTTAGTTTCATTTGTTTATTTTTTTTTTTTTTTTTTCCATTGGTTCACGGACCCTCCAAAAGAAACACTACATCCTTGCCTGAGCATTCATTTCGGGAGTCTGACGAGCCACAGCGTCATGGAAAAAAAAAAAAGTAATGAAACGAAGGGCAGCCATTGGGGGCGAACAATGGGTAATAGGAGCCAGGGAGGAAAAAACCAACGGGCGCGCGGGCGATCCCGGATCTGCAGCTCGGATGAATGGCTCCGCCGGTGATGGGTCGCGTCCTCTTGTGCTCCGGCGTGATCGATAAAATACCTAATAGGTACCTACAACTCGTGAGCACTGGTGTGGCGCACCGCCCGCGTTAGTACGGTGCTATAGAGTACAGCATTATCGTATAGGGGAAGGTACCAGGGGTATACTGTTGGGCCGGATTATTGTTTCGCGGCTGTGAGATTGTTTTTAATTTTCATGTGAAAAAACACGGGATGTACATACGTGTGATTGAAATTCAAAATAAAAGGGGGTGGAATGTAAAATAAAAAAAAACCAAACAAACGTCGGACGTCATGGCTGTATATGGTGTCGAAAGCAAAAACAGTCGGCATAGCCAAGCGTGGCATCAGCGCGTTATTCAAAGCGTCAGACCTGCGAGTGAGCGAACGTCGGGAACGAAAATTATTTTTTATTTTCACTAAAACTCGTGACTGCAAAATTTTCTAATGGAAGGGCGTGCTTTGCCTCTCTGTGCATGTGTCCGACGTTTCGGAACGAAAGGGAAAGAAAAAAAGGGGGTGAGCACAAGAGCGTCCCGGGAATTCGAGGCTGTCCGTTACTCTTGGCCCCAATTTGCATACTTACGCGTAGATAACTCTTCCGCGCGAGCTGTCCTCTCGGATAACTGCACCTATACATGCAGGGTTTCCAAAAATTATTGCGGTCGAAATGTTGTTGGAAAAAAATTTCTTGTAATTTTACGTCTCTTTGCTCCAATTTATACCTCCGTATGCCTCGCTACTAAAGTTTTTTTTTTTTTATTTTGTACCCACGTATACACAGGATATTTCAGGGAGAACAACAAAATTGTTGACGCACCCTTTGACTGTGGAAAAAAAAATTGATGAAAATCAATCCAACGAAAGAGAGATCAAAACACGCGTTTTCGAAACCAGTTACATTCCGTTATTGATTTTTCTCTCCCGTTCTGTTTTTTTACAACATGCTGCTGTCTGCGTGTCTCCTCCACGTAAGCGTGAAAAATTAAATTTATGTCGTGTGCATGCGTTAGATTTATACCGTGTGATGCGTATATTAGTTTATTTTTTTTTTTTTTTTTTTTTTTTTTTTTTTTTTTTTTTTTTNTTTTTTTTTTTTTTTTTTTTTTTTTTTTTTTTTCAGTAAACCACATTGAAGTTTCAAGCAATTAACTTTTTAATTGAATCGTTTGGATGCTTCTCGTGCAAATACGAGCAGGTACCTACACGCCGACAATTTTAGTTGAAAAGCCTTTGACGAGCGAATAACCGGCGCGCGCGTTTGCTCATTAAATATTTATGATACGATGTTTCGAGTCAACGTTGCACACGCGTCGATAAAACGCTTCAAAAGAGAAAATTACAAAAGGGTATACGCGTTTCAATTAATTTTACAGTTTTACCCATAAAATGCTTACCCGAACCGACAGGACAATGAGTGCATCGTGGGTGTACGCAACAACGACTACTGTCGATTTCGCAGAAAGTACATCACCTATACATATACCATGAGATATCGTACGGACTGATCTGATGTGTAAAAAAGCCCCAAGACAATGGGGGACACCTCAACGTATACCCACAGCAGAGGCGCTGGATTATAAACATCGCGATAACATCTGTCTGGGGTCTGGGGCAAAATGTATAGAAGGGGAAGAAAGAGCCGGGACGATTCCACGAGAGACAGCAACCGGCCAAAGGATCCAACGCCACATGGGCACGAGCGCGTGGGAGTTTATTGAGCGACGCATCAATGGACACGGGAAACTATCCCTCTATTATCGATAAGTCCGGGCCGTACACGCGAGAATGAAATGGCAGTCGCTCGACGCTGTCGCTAATTACATACACTGCGTAAGTTGAGTTCGATCGGGACGCACTCGATAAATCTTGTATCGGGGGATTGCGCAACATTTGCATCATCGACGTCGCGTCTTTGGGGCTGTTTTCGAAAAATTTAAAGAAAGCTGCATCATTTTTCCTCGTTTTTTTATCCCCTCGTCAATTTACAGCGCGACCTTACTATCGGCAGTACGTATATCACATTGTATGACCGTAAACTCAATTAGAAAAGTTTATTGTGTCACGAGTATTGGTATAGATATACGGAATCGATACGATAAGAACATAGTCTTCGTTTGCAATTCGCTGTTAATAACAAAGGTTGGATGTATAAAGTGTACCTCGGTGGTGCAGGCATTAGGGATTCTGTGAATTTTGGAAGTATATACTTGATGAATTATCACTGTGCAGTTACGTATTAGCGAATCAACCGATAGAAAGAGAAATTTGATTAGCACAACGCGAGAAACGACGAGCGTTTGCGGACTTTACGGCGATTGCTTACATTCCGATGGGGGAAGGGAAATCGGCGCCTTTCTTTCATATACATCACGTGCCACTCGAGGTGGGTATAGCTTATAAATATGTAATTTTCTAATTTACGCCTCGAGCCGGGAGTCAGTTGGTACAAAGAGAAATGGTTATACACATAACCATCGCCACGACGGGGAAAGAGCTAAAGTTATCGATGATTGTGCATCTTTTGAGTTATTTTTTGGCAGGGTTTATTAAAACACGTCCAGATACGTATTTAAAAGAAAGAAATGACCAATAAACCGATGTAACGTGACGCGTATACGAATCGTGCAGTAGTAG